AGACTGCTACAACAAGTAATTTAAATGTATGTGTGTGTGAGTGTGCGCGCGTGTGTGAGTTGCCTTAGTATCTTAGAAATTACTCTTCTACTTTCGCAAGACTTTTGTCACTCAGACATAAACGATCAGTCGAGCTTTCCCATTTCCTCTCTTTACAACTTTGAAGGTTACAAGTCTCCTTTTCCAGATATACCGATCAAATAAGCACTTCATAGAAACCTTAAAACTCCTACTTGGTAAGACATGAGATGCTTTTAAGTTAATCACCATCATTAAAGAGTTGGAAAGATATTACCATCGACTTCAACAAACATAAGTGTTGTCGTCATCAAAACACTAAGAAGTTCACCAATGTTAGGAACATCAACTTCATATCTATAAGCACATAGATCTAGCTAGGACCTTTTGGAATCCATGTCATGAGAACTATGGACTTTTACATATTGTCATACCCCAAATTTTATCCTAAGATTCTTTGATCTTTCGCATATCATTATAGCTCAATCATTTCTTGCATAATACTCAATTTATTAGATGAAATAAACTTGTTGGAATTACAACCGAATTGGTCAAATCAAAAGTCAACTGTGCGAAAAATCAGTGGACGAAAATTTTAAAATCGAGCATGCAAACGTTAGTGGTATTAATCTGTGTTTTTCGAATATGTATTTTGTTCTGATATCTTCAAACCCATTTCCCGTACATTTAATGCTTTTATAAATGTTTCAGATGTACCTTTAGAATCTTTGTCTTCATCTATTGCTCTTCTAGATGTCTTCAATTTGTTTTTAACTTTGGTTAACAGGTTTTGTTTATTTCCCAGATTTCTCCTCACCTCATTCAATTATCTTCTAAATGTTGTGACTCTTTTTCATCCAATTCCGCTCATGGATGATGACTGTTGCTTTCCTGGTACTGTTGCCTCTCCCTAGTGAGTGGCTACTCATCGTGTTGACTCTGTCCCGTTTTGCTTTTGTGTTTGTCTGCATTTTAGCATCTCATCATTTTCACCATACTAAGGTTCATGACATGTCATCATCACATATTTTTCTCTTGTCCATAGCATAACATGTCATTGCATCTAAGAGAATTTTTTTTGATTATCTGCATTTAAATACCTTTCACCATGATTTCATGAGGATTTTCATCACTGATGTCATTCGATAAGGATATTTAAATAGAGGCAACTGTCATACCCCAAATTTTACCCTAAGATTCTTTGATCTTTCGCATATGATTTTAGCTCAATCATTTCTTGCATAATACTCAATTTATCAGCTGAAATAAACTTGTTGGAATTACAGCCGAAGGTCAAATCAAAAGTCAACTATGCGAAAAATCAGTGGACAGAAATTTTAAAATCGAGCATACAAACGTCAGTGGTATTAATCTGTGTTTTGCGTAGTTTAACTTGAGGTGCTCATTTAATTTTTTCGACCACTTTTTGGTCGCATTTTTTGACAGTTTAAGCCATTTAACCGGGTAAAATTTATTTCGAAATTTGACCAAACGTTGTATTTTCTGAATCGTATATTTTTTGCTGATCACTTTGGTGTATTCATTTTATTTTTTCTAAGCACTTCGGTACGGGTCCAATTATTTATTTTTTTACCGTTTTTATTTCTAACTTTAATTAATAATTATTTTAATTAATTAGTTTTTTATTTTAGATTATTTATTTTATTATAGTTTATTTTATTATAGTTTATTTTATTTTACTTTATTTATTATTCTTTTTTATTTTTTATTTTTAAATTTAATTTTGTCTTTTTCTCTTTAAAGCAAAACTTAACGGTGAAGTTTCATAAAGTTAATTTGGTTTATTTCATTTGTTCATGATATTAGCTGGATGCATGCATGCCTCACGCGGACCAATACTTTTTCTCTCTCACATTTGAATTTTGCTGAAAATAGCATTAAAGAAAAACTCAAAAGATATTTCCCTCTAGATGATAATAAGACATACCCACTTAGAAAAACAAAAACTTGCTACTGGTTTTCTATACTCTCTCCATATTCCACATTTTTCATCACGCAACAATATACTCTCCACTCTCTCAAATATAAAAGGGACAAAAATCGAAAAAAGAGAAGGATTTTTATTTGCTCCTTCTAGCACCACTTTCAGCACCCTTTCCTTCACTAATTTCAGTTTTTTTTTTTTGGACATCTCTCAAGTCATATGTGAAATACCAACCTTTATTCTCATGAGAAGTTAAAACCATAAAACTCCACCAACGATCTTCTTCCCGTCGACACCGCCATTCAACAACTTCAGCGACAACTCATACCGGCTGGATTTCAACTTACAATAGTTGTTCTCATTTCGGTATTGATATCGAACTTTTTCGTACTTGTTTAGTTTTACGTTGTTGTTCGTTGCCTTCTTGAAATTTTAAAGCATAAACATGTTTGTTAATGTATGTGTAGTACAATAATAGTTGTTTACCATGCAATAGACTGTGTTTTAATGTTGAGTGTTAGTTGTATTATTTATAGCAAATAAGCTTCATGATATTGAAATTTGTAGCATTAATATAGTGTATAAGATTGAAGTTATATTGTGTAATGTTGTAAAATTATTGTTCTGTGTAGTTATTTAAAATTACACTGTTATTTTTTGCTTTTGTTTAATATAATATATACGTGGATAAGTTTCTTTTCTTTGGTTTTATGTAGATATGCATGACACTTTTTTATTTAAAAAAAAGGATAAATAATAATACTGTTATAAAAAAAATCTATATTTAATCATTTGAATTTTTTGTCATTTTATATTATTTCATTATTTGTTATATAAGAGTAAACACGAAGGAGACCAAAAGTTTTACCATTTATTTTAGTTTTTTTTCTTGATTTTCTAGTTTTTTTAGATTAATTTGAATCATTTTAAAAATGTAAAAAAAAATTTATTTGATTATTAACTAATTTAAATATTTTTATTTAATATTATTTAATTAAATTATTAATTAATCTTATTAAATATTTATTTTTAAATTAATTAATAATTATTCTCATCACCTGATTCTATATCACGACTTGTCTGTTTCAATGTTCTATTAATTTTTGATGTTTTCTCACGAACTACGAACGCTCTGATTTCTCATTTATCAATGAGAATACGTAGGTACAAGATGCGATGTCTTTGCGAGATCACTAACAACTGACTTCCTGTTAACATTTACAACTTAGGATTTGAGTCTCCGTGCTCCAGATAGTCGTCCCACCGTGGACATTTCCCATGTTTACTTATCACAAGACTCGGAGTCGCCGTACTCTATTTAGTCGTCCCGTCGTAGACATTCCCTTCCTTGCTAACTTAACCTTAGTTTAGAGTCGCCGCACTCTATGTAGGTGTCTCACCGTACACATTTACTTCGCCCTTGGAACCTTAACCAGAGTCAATAGTTCCTCACCTCTATTGAGGAGAACTACGGTTGCTCTGATTCCATTTCCGTCAGAATACGTAGGCACGAGATGCGATGTCTCGGCGAGCATACTTTGTATATATCTTAGATCTTTACCTTAGCATTTTTCCCTTTGCAAGCAACTTTAGCATAACACAAATACTAACAAGAGGTTCTTGTAGAGTACTACATATACTTAGGATGCTAACACCTTTCCTAGGTATAACCAACCCCCGAACCTTAGATCTCTTAGCTGCGTTGTTACATAACGTACTTAGGGTTTTCTTTGATCTTTACCCTTTCCTTTGGATAAATCAAAGCTCGGTGGTGAACTTCATGATTTATGATTCAAGTTAATTAAATAGCTTGATATCCAATTTTTACCGCAACACATATCTAATGTGATATAGAGGCCTAATAAGACCATTTTCACCACAATAATGACCAATAACTTTAGGAGAATTACTCTTATTATTATTTTTAGTGAGATATACATTATTCTGAAAAGGTTTTAAAAAAATTTGTCTTTCATCACTTGAACTACTATAGAAAATACTAGATGATTTAGAGAGATCAGTTTCTGTCATTTTAAAATTTTAATTTCAAGTTTTAAATTAGAACAAGTATCGCACTGAACTACATCTACGACCTTTGATTTTATGACTATTTGTCTTGTTGAATAATTGCTTGTTTTTCACTTATTTAAACTTCGACAATCAATCTTGTAGTGTCAGAATTCACCACATTTATCATAATAAACAAATTACTGCAAATTAGATAAATTAGCGAAACCAAAAATATTTAAAGATATACATTATTCTGAAAAGGTTTTAAAAAAAATTTGTCTTTCATCACTTGAACTACTATAGAAAATACTAGATGATTTAGAGAGATCAGTTTCTGTCATTTTAAAATTTTAATTTCAAGTTTTAAATTAGAACAAGTATCGCACTGAACTACATCTACGACCTTTGATTTTATGACTATTTATCTTGTTGAATAATTGCTTGTTTTTCACTTATTTAAACTTCGACAATCAATCTTGTAGTGTCCGAATTCACCACATTTATCATAATAAACAAATTACTGCAAATTAGATAAATTAGCGAAACCAAAAATATTTAAATCAATAAACTTTTATAAAAGAAATAAAATAAATTACATATTAAATTCTTACGATTTATATTTATAATAGTAATAGGCTTGATCATGGATACAATATTTTTTTACAATTCATTCATATACATTAAAAATGACAATAGCTATAAACATAGTCAAACGAGAATGATACTTTATGTATAATAATTAAAAGATTTGGCTTCGCCCGGACTCGAACCGGAGACCTTCAGTGTGTTAGACTGACGTGATAACCAACTACACCACGAAACCATGTTATTGTGTGATTTGTTAACAATTATATAATTTAAGATCTGTTGCAATCTTCTTTATAATGTTTTTTTAAACATTGCATATTTTACTTATCCCTTCTCTTCTTCTTTCGCTTCGCCGAAACCCTAATCTTTCACGTTTGTTCCATTCAGTCTCAGATTCTTCCTCTTCCTCCCTCTCGTTGAACTCTCACCACACTCCAAAATGTCTGCAGCTCTTGATATGACTCTCGACGACATCATCAAGAACAACAAAAAATCTGGATCCGGAAACTCCAAAGGCCGATCCAGACCCGCACCCGGTCCTGGACCCGCTCGCCGGCTTCCTAACCGCGTCTCCAACCGTGCCACGCCTTACTCCGCCGCTAAGGTAACTTGCTTTCGTTTATTTTTTCAGCAAAAGTTGAATTTTTTTTCTCGGCTTGGATTTCAAAACCCTGATTTTTTTTTTTTTAAATTTGGATTTAATGTTGTGTTGGTTTTAGGCGCCGGAGACGACGTGGCAACATGATTTGTATGGAGATCAGCATGTGGCTGCGGGTTTTCCCGCTCAAGGTGGTCGTGCGCCTTCCATTGAAACTGGAACCAAGCTCTATATATCTAATTTGGATTACGGCGTTTCCAATGATGATATTAAGGTATTTCATTCCCTCTCTTTTGCTGTATTTAAAAAAATAAATTAAATTAGTGAATTCGTATCTGGAAATTTGTTAGGGAATTTTGTCTTATGCTTTTACTAGGGTTCATTGATTCAGAGATCCATTTTTAAATTAAAGGGTATTTCAAAAAACAATGTAAGGAAAAAGTATTATATACAAATCACAGCTTTATATTGTGGTATTAATATATTAGTGATTAGTAAAGCAGTACCTGGAATTTTGTTATTGCACCTGTCTTGCCATGTGAAATTGCATGAAAATTTGTAAGGAGAGTGGGAGTGAGAGCATGTTAGGGAGTTACTGTTTGCTGAGAGTTGAAAGTTGGTTTTTATATCAATCTGGCTGAAAGTTGGTAAAAATCATCTGGTTGTGCTTTATGTCATAACTTTTCTTTTGTTATAGCGCTCCACATATTGCTTATTTGCTTGTGAAATTGAATAAACATTTTTATGCAGCTATAGCTTATAACATTGTTCTTGCATGTGAAATTTGATTTCTAATTAGCTTTTCTTATCTTGTAAATCATTAGCTTATGTCATGTTAAATAGCCGCTATGGTGGCGCTATACTGCCATAATGTAGCGGAATTTGAACTCACCGCTATTGTTCCGCGAGATGCTATTTAGTACAGAATATTCTCAAATAGCTGCTATAATACTATTTATCGCACAGCTAAATTTTAACCACCCTGTATTTTCTGCTATTTGCCATTGGCAACACTGGCCTATGTTCAATGTTGTCAATTGCGGATCGCAAAAACTAGTAGTTTGCTCAAATTTGATTATGGCACATAGCCTGAGTGCCTTAGGCACGCCTTTAACTACACTGATCTGTATTCCCTCTATCCAGAACTTAAACTTAACATGCTAGTTTTACAGGCTCTGAAATTTACAATTAATGTTTAGATTTCAATTTTCATATTATGCAGGAATTGTTTTCTGAAGTTGGTGACTTGAAACGACACGGTGTTCATTACGACAGGAGTGGAAGATCAAAGGTATTTTGTCCAGTTGGCTTTGTTTGGTCATTCTGATAATTTCTTTTTGTCCTGCTATAAAAAAAACTTCTTTTTCATAGGGTACTGCAGAAGTAGTCTTCTCACGGCGACAGGATGCTGTTGCTGCTGTAAAGAGATACAATAATGTTCAACTGGATGGGAAACCAATGAAGATAGAGATTGTTGGGACAAACATTTCTACACCTGGTGCAGCTCCTGCTGTAAATGCCGCCCTTGGAAATTTTAATGGAATTCCTCCAAGGTATTCACAGGCTTGACTGTGCTATAATGATCTTCTATTTAATCTTTTTTTTAAGAGTGAACCTTTCGAACAGTCTACTTGCTTCTCGCCTGGCTAATTTGTGGATAATTGAATGGTGCTTTTGGGTGTGCACACACGTATGATTTAGTTTTGTTTTAGTCTTGCTGCTATACTGGATTAAGTCATGCTTTATAATGATTGCAATCAGTTGAATCTATGTTTAGTTTTTGGATTCAATTTTCTGAGTCAGTTTTTTTCCTCATCCTTTGACTTATTGGAAGTCTCAACTTTTTTTTCCCCATCCTTGCAAATACATTCTGGTTGCTAGTTCTAAATATTCGATGAATATGGATGGCGAGTGTATCATGTTTATTTGTTCTTAATACTGTGTTTTCTTTTAAGAGCATGCTTTTGAAATATGAAATTGAAGATTTTTGACATAAGAGGAAACCACTTCTATGTTTGATGAACTTTTGTTTGATCAAATGGTAAAGATAGTATTCTTTCTTGCATTAAAGATGACTGTAATTTGTCTTGAGCAGTGGTCAAGGAAGAGTTGGAGATTTCCGAGGGCAGGGAGGAAGAGGTCAAGGCATTCGAAGAAATCGAGGACGTGGAAGAGGTAGCGTTGGAAGTCGTGGTGGTGGTCGTGGTGCCGGACGCGGTAGAGGTCGCGATGAAAAGGTATCTGCAGAAGATCTTGATGCTGAGCTGGAGAAGTATCATGCAGAGGCCATGCAAATAAACTAAAGGAGCAATCTTGTTCTGTTTTCATGCTTTTACATCTATGGTTATTAGGGGGGCATTGTGATGGATCGCCACATGTTTATGTATTTGGAGCCCAATGTTTTTAGAGAAGGGAAAAAATTACTCGAGTGAAAACTGTTGCTTCATATAATGGAGTTTGGGCTTCTGTTGTCTAAAATATTCGTATTACTCAGAAATGTATGAACTATTGAGTTAAGAGAAGTCAGCTTGTGCACTCTAGGTTGCTTTCATTGACTTAAATAATTTGTTTATCAACAAGTGGATTAAGGAAGTGGGGGGTGGGATGGAACCATGCTGTCGGCTATCAATGCACAGAAAAATCTCTGGCTTCAAAACGTGGAATCTTCAAATAAGGTAGATTCCCCGCTACTCCTTCCACAACCCTATCTCAAAAGAAGTGATGTTTTATCTTTTGTTATTTAATTTTACCTTGGCCTTATGCATGTTTGATATGATCTCTTATAATAAGGTCTGTTATCTCTTGAGATGTTTCATATTTGTTTTAGGGGAGTACTTCTTTCTTGACTGGTAATTTTTGGCATATATTATTTAGCAAGATGGAATCTATCAACTGTTCTGCTATGCAGACTGAGTGTGCCGGTCAAGATTCAGGTCTACCAACGGGGATAACATTCCCGGCTATGGAATTCCAAATGGTCTACCATTAGAATTGGTTTTGGGACACATTCACAAATAATGTTCATTCCGAACCTGCTTTTCTTTGTTTGCACTTCTCAACTGTGGTTGGGGTGAAGAACCTGCTTTTCTTTGATTGTACTGTGAGTGTTGATTATATTTAAGCACCTAAAATTGTCTGTATAAGATGACAAGAATGCACTTTATAATAAAAAAAATAATGATATTAGGTTTTAGGTTTAAATTATGGAAATTTCATGACAAACTAAGGGGGGGTGACCTTGACTAAGGCCGAACCTGAATGTGAAGACTAGTGTTTAGAAATTAATTTGAAAATACGAAGCTGTGGATAAAATAAGGTATGAAATGATGGGGGTGGTGGGAGAGTTTGGTTGAATCTTTTTGTATATCGTACCATTTTGCAAGAAAAGGACAATGTGTGTACCAACATAGGCAGCGGGTGTTTTTGAATTTGGATTCTGATGTTAGCTACATTATCCAAGATAGTTTGATTGAGATATATTTCATTGTAGATGTTTTTATTTTTATAAATAATTTAAAACGAGTTTAAAATATAAATCAAATCTTTTATGGTTGAATGCTTGTATTCACAACATTGTTGACTTATTTATTTTTAGAAGGGCCTTGGAGATGACTTGATTGAGGCTGGAGTAGTTTAATTCGTTAGGGAGGGTAGCTAAAGCTTTAGCTAGTTTTGACATTTGTATTGCTTATCTCCCTCTTTCTTTCTCCAATCTTAATTATAAACAAAATCAACTTTCACATTTTAAAGAGTGGTAGTAGCATCGAAATCCCAATCTTGAAATATTTTGTAAGTTTTGAATTTTAAAATCCAAATGCTTTAGTATACAATATGTTCTGGACATCCCTAATAAGAATGTCCCTATCCATTGATCCAACCCAACAAGCTACCCCATTAGCCGACAAATAGGTGGACTTTCACTTAGGAGCATCGTATAGAATATGTGGACTTTCACTTAGGGGCATCGTATAGGTATATGACCCTCGTTCAATCTCAACCATTGATATGCATCAACAGTCCTCCACATTTTATGCCGATCAATTGAAAACATTTATAATTTTCTTATTTACATAAGCGTGACTTTGAATCACACCCATATACTCACTCGCTTACATTTGCAACACTTATGTCTCTCAAATATTATTTAAATGTTAGAGTGTTAATTTTATAGATACTTTTATGATTATCAGGGGTCATAATTACTATATCAAAAGTTTTTTTTTAGAATGGTCATCTTCAGCCTCACATACTTATATTTTAGTACGAAATACAACATAAATTGGAAACTCACCATCATCGTCTTTTTGCTACTTTTTACATTTGTATTGTCTATCTACCTCTTTCTTCCTTTGACATTAATTATAAACAAAACCAATTTCGCCTACCTCTTTCTTCCTTTGACATTAATTATAAACACAACCAATTTCACATTTATTAAGGGTGGTAGTTGTTTTGGAATGAGTGCATGCCCAATCTATTTGATAAATATAACTCAATTCAAAATGATAACATATTACATTCTTCCACTCTCCTGATATTTTTTAAACTTTTGTTTTCGACTTTAGAAATTAAATATGTTTTTAAAATTTAAAATTTAAATCTCAAACACTTTTAATATGCAACATGTTCCGAGAAGGCTATAAAGGCTCAATAAGAATAACTAATCCATAAGTTTGTCTCAGCAAGAAGGTTTACTACTCGATGAATATGTTGGCTTTCACTCTTGGATATGACAAAACTCTCATTCTCATCTCAACCTGATATGGAGTGATCAAAATGTATTGTTTTGGCCTTTAATGTAGGGCAGCAACAATGCTTGTAGGAGAAGAGGGGGTGTACCTGTAAGATACTCTGATATCAAAGTAAGTTTTTGGACTAGAAAGAAAGCAAGTACGAGTGTTTAGGTATGAGTGAGAATGATTAGAATACCTGACCCTCTCAAGAGAGAGGGTATTTATGAAATTCTCCCTAGCGCGAGACCAAGGTCTCCCATGTGGCCGAAATATCTGGCTGACCAATGGGAGACTGCCAGGTGGAAGATCTAGCGCGTGATCTTTGACATGGTCCAATTGTCCCCGTGAATTTCGGAGGGACAATTGGTCACGTGAACTGTCAAGCGCGTGAGGGGGATGTCTCCAACGACTATATGCTCTAATGACTATATTGTGCCCAACAGATATATCGTGCCCAACGGCTAAATTGTGTCCAACGGTCAGATTGTCCTAATCTCCTTATTGGGTCTGACCTTAAGCTAAACTGGATTGGATCTTGTCCAATTGTGGGGCATGAGCCAATCCAGTCCAGAACAGGAGCCCCCAAGTCGTTGCTTCGAGGTGAGGAGTAATCACTTGAGTTAGCCTAGTTGGTCGACGAAGGGGCATGGACCATATTACAGGGAGGTCTTTGAGGTTGTCATCATTTGGAAGAAAAACTTCGAGGACGCACAATTGCGTAGCATGTGATTAGTATGATCGACTGTTGATTGCGTGTAGCCTCCTTGGAGGTACACAGACGTGGTCGGATATGAAAGACGCGTTTTACGTCGGCCATATTTTTTTCTTAAGGTGTAGAGAATGTCGACGAGCCTCTTGCTCGGATGCTATTTGGTGACATTGTCGAGGAGAATGTGCCTGCGGGGAGGTGAATGAACTTGTCCTTTCACAAGCATGTGAATGGTCAGTTTTAAAAGTGCTAACTGACAGCTTCTTTTGCCACGTGTGAAGGTGCAATAAATTTTGTTAAGGCCTAGGAGGTCTAAGAGGCTAGGCAATGATGACTTTTTGCCCTTTGCGCTTCCCCATGCGAGCAAAAGAGCCTATATAAGGGGAGAAGAGGATTCATTTTTACTTCACGGAAACTTCTCTCCTTTTTACCTTTTGCTCTGCAACAAACGTCTGTCCCTAGAGCCTTCTTCGCCGCCATCAGTTGTTCTTGCCTTTTCCAAGATCTTCATCTTCATCCTATTTATCCAAGTTTTTCATCCTTGTTGTTAGAATGTATGAATTTCTGGAATTTTAGCTTGAGTTTACCAGCGATGCATGCATTTTTTGGTTGAAGTTCATGCGTTTCTAGATGAACACATGAATTTCCTAGGAAATTCATGAATGCCTTGAAGAAAATAAATCTAGAATGATGTGTGTCTGTAGATCTTCTTAGGTTGTTGTGTGAAACGTTTCATGTTTGTAGTTGGGCAGAAGGTATCCTCGATGCTGAGGGTTTCGTTCTTATGTGTCTGACACATCATAGTAGTCGCGGGGCTTATCCCCCTTAGGGTCTTTACAAGTCGTGGGGACTTGTCCCCGTTTTCGGGGAGGGTTTTCGTCGAGACCCTTTGTCTTTGATAAGGGCTTGAGTCGAGGAGACATCCTCACACTTAATCCTCGCCCTTTCACTTGATTTGTGGTGGAAGGGTGGATTTGATCTTCATCGAATTCACTTTTGCTTCCTCTACTTTTTAGGTGAAATGGCTGATCAAAATGAGGGAACCGTCCCCGACATTGATGTGACTACTAACGAGGATGTGCCTCCCGCCGAATATGCCAACATGCGAGTCGCTTAAGGGGACCTTAGTTGGATCACCCAGGAGTCTCTAGTGACGAAGTCGACCTTTACCGAGGAGGAGGCCAGTAATTTTGATCTCCTCGAAGATAGGTCCGAAGATGCGCCCATGAGTTGGAGAGAGATTAGTCCCACAGAGAATGACCGAATATGCTCGGTGTATCCAGGGAGAAGAATCCCAATGTATGAGTTTGCTTTTAGAGAGGCAGGATATCGTCTGCCCTTCACGGATTTTTAAGGGGCAATATTTTGTCATCTTGAATTGTGTCCTGCCCAACTTCACCCGAATGCTCTAGCGTTCATTCGAGCTGATATTTCGTTATCTTAGGATTAGGGCTACCATGGACCTCTTCTTCTGCATCTTTCAGCTACAGAGGAGCACCGCTGAGTCAAAGCAGAGTTGAGTGTCTTTTAAACAGCAGAGCAGGCTGTTTTGGCCCTATTTGGAGTCTGTTAGAAGTTTCAAGTTCAGGTTTATGGTTGTAAAGCCCCTTTCAGAGGTGGCTAAGAGTTCCCTGGTTACCGTGGAGACGATAAAAAAGGATGGTCGGGACGTGGTACGACATGTGTCAAAATTTCCCTTGGAGTGGTGTACGTCCATTTTCGGTATAGAATCGACTAATTCCTCGTGAAACACGATCAATTGTGCTATGAGGATAAGAAATCTCTTCGAGCACTGACAACGTTCGTGGAGAGTTTCATCCCTGCCGCTGTGGTGGACAAGGATGGTAACCTCCTATACGATGAGAATGGAGGGCCTGCTCGGGCGGCCCGTTAAATAAGTACCAAAGTCCTCTTTGACTGCAAAACTGAGGCCGAGGCTTTTTAGCTTCTAGGTATAAATTATGTGTTTAACTTGTGCTTCTTGATGTTTTGATGTCGTGCTGACTCTTTTTTCTTCTTTGCAGGAAAGATGTCGAACTTGCGTGAGCGCCTGGCTAAGTCTGCCGCGACCAAGAATGTTAAAAAGGTTTCGACTTCGAGGTTGGACGCGATTGGACAACAAACGACTCTAGAGAAGTTTATTGGTGGTCATTCGCCTTCTCCGGGAAGCACCTTCAATCCTCCTACTCCGGATCCTTAGAAGAAGAAGAAACGAGACAATCTCGGTTCCTCCTCAGCTGAAGGCTCAGGTGGTTTTGTTGGGGGAAATTCATCCTTCTCCCATGCTATCTGCAGGACAAGATTTTTGACGGGGAAGGATCTGCGTTCGTCCCCGACCTAGAGGCGTCGACCATCTCGGATGCCGACCCAAAGGTGAGGAGGGCGCTCCTCTATCGTGATGCTGCTGTGATGATGAGGGTGCTAGAGACGGCTCTGGCCCTGGGTGATGCAGAGAAAGTTCCGCTTAAAGAGTTAAAAAAGGAGAAGGTCAGAGAGGCCGAACTTGAGTTGGAGACAACTGACTTGTTCAACTAGCTTTCGACTCTC